GTGAGCAAAAAACAAATGGAACAACAAAACGGTTCGGATACAACTACGACTGCGACCAACACACTACAAACCACATACGTTACCTGAAATCCTAAACCCCAAACCCCTTAAACCTTAAACCTCCAAATCAATCGCAGGCACCGCCTTCAGCTGTGGCCACTCCCCAGGACCCTTCTTGCACGCCTCCGTGGCCTCCTTCAGGTAGTTGAGCAGCTCGTCATCGTCCTCCGTCGTTGCCATCTCCTCCTCCTTGATTTTCCGCTTTGCTGCGAGCTCAGGGATGGATTGAAGAAGTTTGCTCAAGTCCTCTTCGAGTGCATCCATTGTTGACTGGAACTCTTTCTTTGTTCCTTCGTCTTCCTCTGCCATCATTGCCTGAGTCTCTTCTCTCAGGCCGGTGAAGGCTTCCTGCTGCTTGCCGTGTGCGGAGGCAAGCATGGTCTCCTCCCGGGCATGGGCATTCTTGATCTGCAGGAAGAGCACTGCCCTAACGGGTTTCTTGTCCTTATTCTCAAGCCTTTCCTTGTCGGCTTGTTGCTTCTCCAGCACCGTTTCCATCCACCTTTGATCTCGCAGAGCCTCTTCCTGCTTGAGCTGATCGAGGTCTCGGGCGACATGCAGTCCCGGCACCGAGGCGTTTTCCATGCCTTGGTCGAGCATGGCCTTTTCGGTTGCCAGCCTTTCACCGGCCTTTTTGAGCCTCTGTGCTGTCTGCTCTTGGCAGACAGCCAGCTCGCCCTGGTCTGTGACGTCCATTCGCTGGCGAAGAGTTCCTGCTACGCTGTGCTCCTGTGCGAGCTCGCCCAGCAAGCCACCAAACTCCTTCAGCATCCAGACGCCTCTCAACTGTTTGCTCTCGGTGTCATCATCCTGACACCTTTTCAAGAACTTCGCCCGCCCATCCTCGTAGTTCTTCGCGAGGCCCAAGGTCATCTCTCTGGCGACCCAAGCTTTCTCAAGCCACCACCTATCCTGCTCGCTGTTTCTCATGGAAGCCCGCCGAGTGTCTTCGACAACCCCGGCGGCGGTGGCAAATGTTCTCTTCTTAGACACACCGCCTCCACCACCGTCCTGGCGGTGGGACTTCTTTTCACCTGTACCACTCGTACTGCTCCTACTTCGTCATCTTCCCCAGCTGCTTCTTCAAGTCCGCAGCAGTCTGGCAATTGTTCAGCAGATCCTCGTCGTGAGCATTGAGCTCACCCTCTTTGGCTTTCTTCTGAGCCAAACTCTTCGCCTGATGGGAGCTAGGATTAGGGGATTAGGGGGACCCTTGGGGTACCCGTTAAGGGGGTCTCCCTAATAATACTACCTACCTGAGCGATCCTGAGCGATCTGCTTGTTCAAGATCCGCTCCGTGCCGCCGCCCTCCTGGCAAATCCGGAGCAACTCGCTTCGTCCCGTTGCATGGGAAGTCGAAACAGTGGTGGGCTTGTTGCATTTGCGGCAAAGGAGTTCGCCGGTCCCATCCATGGCTGGTCTCGCTGACTTGCACAGAAGGGGCCAGGGCACCAGGCCAGAGGGGTCTCGGTCAGGTGCTGCTGCTTGAACCAGCAGTTGCTAATTTCATTGTCAAGCCTAAGCCCTACACTCTAGTTGTCAGAACACACTTCCTGGCGACTGAAGGAAGTGCACCATCATGAAGCATGCCATCCGCCTGTATCGAAAACCTTTTGCACAAAGTGCACTGATCAGCTAAACTGATTAAAGAAACTGAGGCCTGCATTGCACGCACTGATCTAATTAACTAAATTAAGACACCGAATTGACTACAGACTATGGATGAGCTCTCCGGCAGTGACAGCTGTGCTTCTGCACTCTGCCATGAAAAGCTCAAGGCTGCCTACCCGAGATCTATGGCTATGCATCCGCATGACCGACGCACTGCCAACTTGTCAAAATGGCTACTACGGTTCGCCCTGGGACTGGTCGGACTGGTACTACGACTATGGATGAGCTCTCCGGCGGCAGCTGTGGCTGGACTTTGGATATGATGAGCTCTCCGGCAGGCAGGCAGCTGTGGCCCGTCTTGTGGGACTATGGATGAGCTCTCCGGCGGCAGCTGTGGCTGGACTATTAATGGGACTATGGATGAGCTCTCCGGCGGCAGCTGTGGCTGGACTATTAATAGGACAATGGATGAGCTCTCCGGCGACACTCCTGCATCCGCCCACGGCGTGCCTTCTTTGCTATTGATGCCTGTCTTTCCCCGGAGACGCCTTCGCTTGGCAGCTGTGGCTGTGGATCTGGGACTATGGATGAGCTCTCCGGTGGCAGCTGCTGCTGCTCTTCTCGGACTATGGATGAGCTCTCCGGTGGCAGTTGCTGCTGCTCTTCTCGGACTATGGATGAGCTCTCCGGTGGCAGCTCCAGTGGCAGCTGCTGCTGCTTTTCTCAGACTATGGATGAGCTCTCCGGTGGCAGCTGTGGCTCTACGCACATTTCGGTTGGCAGCTGCGGCTGTGGATCTGGGACTACGGAAATTTTGCTTCCTGTGGACCCGGCCCGATCTGCCAGCAGAAGCATCGGAGCCACGAGACATGCCATCACCAACGTGTGCATGCCGTTGCCGGAGGCTCTCTTTGCAGCTGCCCTACTGGCAAAAACTGTTGCTGTCTCTGCCGGGTGGCCCATGAGCAAGAACCTCTCCGGGATGGAGAGCATTCGGTGCAGCTCTTGTTTATCCCAGGACTGTTGCAGGTCTTCCAGGCTCAATAGAAAAAGAGCCGGGCCGCCAGTCCGGAAGCTGCTGGTCTTGCCCAACTCGAACCGAGGACCGTAAGCATTCGTGGGGTCACGGTCCAGTTCTGCACAGGCCACACGAGGGCGGCCTTGGTCTTCAGACTGGGATGCCATGCCCTTGTACCTCTGCAGGTTCCTTTGCATCCCAACCGACAGCATGCTCGGGTCGGTGGGTGGCAAGCCTTGCTGCAAGAGTGACTCCAGTGTAACGGGCTTTCCATGGCCAAGCTGGTCCACTGTCACCACTGGCAAAGGGCCATGGAACCCACGAGGCAAGCAGTGCAAACGAAGGCCTCGGATGAAAGTCCGCCGTCTCCGCATGGGCCCCCAATCAACAGAGTCTGATCACAGTATGGGTGCCCCTTCAAGGTGTTGGAGTCCTCCAGAGCAAACAACCTCGGGTGCCCAGCTCGACTACCCAATCCACAACTGTGTCAAAGGGAACCGATCGGGCATCAAAGGTGCCATGTCTTTGGCCAGCAGGGGAGAAGGGCTGGCATGGTGGCCCAGCCACGAGCCCTTCTGAATCCTCGAGCTTGTCGAGGGGGACGTCTGTTATTGAGTGCTCTGGCCCTATGTGTGCAGCTGGAACAGCCCTCCAATGACCCAGCAAGCCACTGTCTGTGTCGTAACAATTTACGGCACGGTGACGGTGCAAGTCGCCTGGCATGGGCTCAAGGGACTGCTGTACCCAGGTCTTGAATGGGCTCAGGCCCACACAAGGCTGAGACACCAAGGGCACGTGCTTCCTCTTTCGAAACACAGCCCCTAGCTCCCACAGCTGCTGCCGGAGCTGGGACCAACCCGGCCTGGCGGCAGCCGTGGCAGGGCCTGCTTCTTCTGCGGCTACACATGCACCCTCCATGGACAGGACACACAGCCACACACCACACACTCCAACCCTGAAGTCTTGTCCCAGCCCCAAGCTGTGAACCGAATCGACGGTGGTCTTGGTCTCTGCACTCATTCAACACCTGGCACGCCTTTGCATAAACAAAACAAATGCTGCATTTTCCATTCACTGCCTTGGGTCATGCAATCGGAGAGCATGCAGCTGAATTCTCTGCTTCCTATGGATGCTCACATCAGGCTGTTAGTCGTGGGGCTGTCATGGATTGTCCATTCAGCACCAAAAACACTAACTCACTTCGTGACTTCGTGTCTCGCCTCCACGCGGTCCACACTTGTGGCTTTGTGGTTTGTGTGGCTTGTGACAGTGGCTCAGACACGTGGCTCTGACCACCACTGCCACCACCACACAACTTCGCCGCCGCCCTGCACTGTCTTCTTCCAACACCACTTCCAGATCTGCCCCAGAGAGCCAGCGGCGGATCCGACGGCCGACGAAGTTGCCGTTGCAGCCGTTGAGAAGGAGTCCAAGGCGGACGAAGTTGCTGGTGCAGCCGTTGCGAGGGAGCCCAAGCCGGACCCGTTGGATCCAGTTGCTCTCGCAGCCGCTGCACCGCCTCCGGAAGTAAAGAAGCTCACATCCATTGGCAACGTTGCGGAAGCTCCGGCCGCACGAGCGGCCTCAGGCGAGGCAACACGCTTCCGCTTCATCCTACAAATTCAAGAAAGGATCTTGGTGACTTGGTGATGCACTGCTGCGGGACATCACGTAAGGCTATTGTTTGTGCTGGCAAGCCAGCTGCACAGGCAAACAAGGCTTGAGATGTAGAACATGCAACAACGGCTCCAAAACAGCACCAAAACAACCAAAACAAAACCGGGAAGCGGGAACCCAAGGAGGGAACCGGGATGGAACCAGGAGGTAGCCGGGAGGGAGCCGGGGAGGGAGTTGGGAGGGCCCCGGCCGCGAAGGCCCCGGCAGGGAACCGGGAGGGAACTCGGAAGAAACTCGTCGGGAACTCGTCGGGAACTTGGCGGGACCTGGCGGGACTTTTGACTTTGGTTCGCAGTCGGAGTCCTTTCCCACTCGACTAGCGTGGGCCTGGCGATGACTATGCACTGCCTGCCGTCACTGACGGCGCCCCCCTACAACGTAGCCGCCCCGGAGGGCCCTACGAGGACCGAAGTCCACCCAGGCTCTGATCGTATGGAGAGAAGGAAGGGAGCGAGAGAGAGAGAGAGAGAGAGAGAGAGAGAGAGAGAGAGAGAGAGAGAGAGAGAGAGAGAGAGGAGAAGGGAGGGAAGGAAGGAAGGAAGAAAAGCGGAGACAAGGAAAACAGGAGGAGATCAGAGCCAGACCTGAAACTGCGTGAAACTGTAAAAGTCCGCGTTCTCGCGCTCGGAGTTATCTAATGGCCGAACATGGCCCCAATCGCCTCACCAAGAGCTTTTGTCCCGGTGAATCTAGGACGCTGCTGTGCACCATGGCCTCTCTTCAGCCTCTTGCGTGCAGCATTTCTCTCGCTAAGCTTATGCGCCTTCTCACTGTTGAAAAGTTTTGCAGGTACTTGCGGCGAGGATCCCTCAGCCTGTTTGGTGAGAGGACGGTGTGAGGTCCAATACATTGTCAACGTTGGCTGAGGTGGACGGGAATCAGCATCGCTGGCAAACTTATCTGGTGCCATAGGGCAATGTGGCGAGGATTCCTCAGCCTTGCGCGCATCACACCTCAGAGTTGCGGCTTCGGCGGGCAATGGTTGTTGTTGCCACCGCTGCGATGGAGTCAGGAGCTGACTGCGTTTGCGAGGCATAGGCTTACTCGTCTTGGTATCTGTGTCATCGGGCGCCCCAGTAGACCTCGGACGCTTGTAAGATGCAACCTTGTTGATGTTGTCAACCTCCAGCAGCACTGACCCGAGTGTCGTTGGCTGACAGTCTTTGGACGAGGATTCCTCAGTCCTGGATCGCAGTTGTGGCGGAGTGCCAATTGATCCTCCTTGCTCATTATGAGCTGTGTTGTCTTCAGTCGTCATCCCCTGCCGAGGGCCGCGCCACCTCTCCATTACCACGTCATCGGACTCAGGTCGAGCACCACTGCCTGCAGCGTGTGGTGGCGCTAACCCGCCGTCAACAACAGTGGATTGTCCCGGACTGCACACGTCTACCAGAGGTCCGCCCCTCACATGCGCTGTCATGTATGGGTTGATTCCGCTCTCCAAGGCTTCAGGGCTCATCACATCGTTGCTCGGCGCAACCGCTTGCACTAAATTCCCTGTTGCATCGAAGTCTAGACCCTCAGCGACTGGCTCATCAATGCCTTCACTCAGTAGATCGTTCGAAGAAGAAGGCACTAACCAGATGCCATAGAGTGCGTCCGAATACCAGCTGTGATACCGTCCTAGACTTGGTGGCTGGGAATCGTTTTTCAACCAAACATACGGCGACCCCAACTCAAACAGCAGTGTGGTGTAATGCCCCGTCTCACGGGTTTGACCGTGTCGCAGCAGGACCGCAGTAATGCGATACTTATGCCAGCGCATAATCGGGGGATCCGCAGTGCTAAGCATGTCAATTTGCGGAATGAGCACAAAGGGGTGGTTTGGATCGACGAGTACATTGGCACGTTGGTCGTGACAAGTGTCCCTCAGTAGCATGAACAGTCCCCGATCTGCTTGAAGAAGCGCCTGATAGGAATCGGAGCCGAATGACCAGGCTTGAACATGTTCCTGCAGGGTACCCGGGCGCTTATCTAGAAGCGGAGGGATTAGAATGGACCCTTGTTGCAACGTCTTCACTCCGGTGCGCTTCGACAACATGATCCAGACAGAGGGTTGGTGCTTTTCGCTCAGATGTGTGCGCAACCAGTCGTAAAACTCCCCAGCATCCTGCTGGAGTCCCCAGCCCCGCCATTCACTCATATGATCCCGTACAGGTTGCCATTCAAGGACATGAGTGAATAATCCCCAGTCACACCGCATGTCTGTGGTATGTCCCCGCGAGGATGCCTCAAGCAGGGAGTGAATGGACCACAAGTGGCCATTCACGATGGCATTTGCGTAGCACATATTGGCGTTGTTCACCAACCTTAGGTCGATGATTGATCTGCCAGGGTGGCTGCCTGCCTCATTGTTTGGATTACCAGTCCACCTGGACGAGGAGTCGCCGGGCGCATTCTGGTCATCGCCAATTGCGTGACTCCGTTTCTGCAAAGCTTGGTCAGTACCTCCATTAATCGGAACGATTGAGGATGTCGCAAGCTGAGCTCCAGGCGCCATGGCACTACCAGCGCAGGATCCTTCTCCGGTGTCTGTACGAACTTGAGTGCCTTGAATGCCGTGAATCGTCTCAACATTCCCTCCAGCTGAAGCAACTGCTGGGCTTCCTTTAAGTGCTTTTCCGCATCCGTCATCGACAGACCGTCTGTCTGCGCCACAATCTGCTTTTGCTCCTTCTGAGACCATTGCAGATACGCCCAGTTTAGCTCGGAATCGAGAATCCCCAATCCCTGTAGGACTTGCTGTCGTGTCAGATCGGTCTTGACTTTGACTAATCTGTCTATGATGGTGTCCATGAGCGTCTGGACCATGATGCATTTGAGGGGCTTCTGGGCCCCTTCCTCGGACCCCACCTTGGAGTGCCAGTCCTCTGATGTCATGATCATCTGAGGTAGCGGTGAGCCCTGCCCTCCAGTGACGAAGAGCATAAACTCCCTGTCGACTGCAAGACTCTGGATCGAGGCCTCGTGTCTCAGCAGGATCGTTGCAAAGTTCTTCAGCACCTGGTGCATGTCCGGCTTGTTCTCCATCCCGTTGTGATTGATGCCTGTGACACCGGAGGGGCGGGATGGTGTCTGATTCTTGCCTGTGTTCTTGCCCTTGCCCTTGCCCTTGCCCTTGCCACTAGATTTTCGGCCCCGCCCCTGCCAGCAGGGTTGGGGTCGAAGCAAACCCCAATTGCGCCATCAAGTCCACATGAGATTGATCTGGCATGTCGTCGTCGTCCATCTGATACGAATTGAAGGTCATGCGGCTTGGGAGTGGCGGGCGTCGCAGGCTTTGAACCATGCGCTTGAAAGTGCTCGCGGAACTGGCATGCATGCATTTCCATCCCACATACCTTGCAGCTGACCTTTCCCGTGGAAAGGGTCCGCGCCTTCGCACGGGTAGTAGAATCCTTAGCAGCATGATGCTCTTTGAGTTTGACCGCTGAAGCGAATCGCCTACCGCAGTTTTCACACTCATGGGGATCACTGATTGGCATCTCTTCTGAGGTGCAGTACCTGCGTGCGAGAATGCATGCCACCTGTGTCAGGATGTGGCATTTGTGAGCTGATAGGTCTTTGACACGAGTGTTACACAGAGGGCAAGCCGCATTCTGCTTTTGCCAGTGCTGCTGTCTGATCATGGCAGTCAACTGTGCGTTGATCGGCTCTTTGCACTCGCCATGTTCCTTGTAGATGTGGTTTGTGATCTGTCTGGCGTGCAGGCGCTGATTGCAGAAGGCACAGTGATACCATGTGAGAGGGTGTTTTGCGACAGCCTTAATCAGTGCTGTTATTTGGCCGTCGTCCGCAAGTCTTTTGAGATTCTGGTCCGTGGCCATACTCGGCCCATCCGGCTTGTCCGGATTGAACTGTGCACAGGAAGCGGTTTCAATGTGCCTACGGAGATTAAGCCGGTTGTCAAGTGTGATTCGGCAGTGATTGCACTGATTACTTCCACTGTATGCATCTCTTAACGGTCTGAAGGGTATGAGGTCATCGCATTTCATCTTGTGTTCACTTCGCCTGTGATGCTTCAGCGCTGTTCTCGTGAGGAACACCTTCTTGCATTCTGCACACGGAAAGAGCGTGCCTGCCTGATTGTCCTGCTGTGCGGGGGGAGCTTCCGTGGACGAGGATACCTCAGTCCTGACCGCAGTCCTTCGTTCTTCTGGTGGTTGATGTCGCACCTCTTCCACCGGGGCCTGAAGATGGCATACAGTCATAGCTTCAGTCGGGTTGTACAGAACATCGCAGGGCGGAAGCATTTCCCGACATGACAGGTCATCCTCAGCCATGTGTTGCAGTAGACCACTTCGACGCCGATTACATTGTGAATGCATGTGTTGTAGCCTCTGCCACGGATAAGGGATGCTTAACCTGGCGTATAGAGTGCGAGTGTTCTCCTTGGTAATGTGCACTTGCGAATCTGCAATGGCTCTAATGTGTCTAGTGCAGAGTCTATGTACTGCCTGAATCTCATGAGAACTCAGACCAGCTTCGAGCACTCCATATGTGAGCGTGGGCCACACACATGAGAAGTACAAATGCATCCGCTGTTTGAGACTGTGCGTGCGCTTGCTGGTAAGAACGGTTCTAAGCTGCTGAAATGCCACCCTAGCAGCTGTTACTCGTCGCTTTAGGGTCAGCCTGCGATGCGACGAGTAGCTGAGCACGGCACCCAGGTACGATTGGCTGGCCTGCATGGGTAGTTCAATCCTGGTCAGATCCGGGCACTGCACTTGCATGACCGGTCCGGTTGGCCGGCGCCTGTGATACTTGGCCAGCGCAGCTCTGGCAGCCTGCCCAGCCAGCTTCACCATCACAGTCGTTTTCTCCAAGTTGGTATCGAATCCTAGCTGTTGTAGGGTTTCGAGGATGATGCCGATTTCCCTGATGGCACGGTCAAGTTCCGTTTGACTGTGGATCGTCCACAAGAACAGCTTATCATCAGCGTACACGGTGACATGTTGTTGTATCCACTCTAAGCTGAGCTTCTGTTCAAGAACTCGTAACAGTGCAAGAAGGATGACATTCCACAACAATGGCGCGTCAGTCGCGCCCTGTTTGACGCCTCGCGTGGCTGGAATGCGTGCGCTCTGACCCTTGTGTTCAATCAAATAGTCTCCCTCCATGCAGCGGATGAGCATCGTAATATGCTCGTCAGCTAAAAGCGTGCGCAGAGTTTGAAGCAGGGGTCTGCGGTTCACTTTATCAAAAGCCTTACTAAGATCAATTGATAAAGATATGCCTCCAGCGACCTGTCCCTTCCGCTTCTTGGCCTTCGTAGTGGTGGCGCACATCGCCTGGACGGCCTCACAATGGCGAAACGCGCGAAGCAGGCAATCTGTCGTCGATCTGTGCGGCATATATGCGTAGATAGGGAGGTGCCGAATGGACTGATACACTTGCTGCCGCACCTGCTCCGTCGTCAGCCGTGCGGCAATTTTGCACACAGGATGTTGCAGGCAGATAGGCCGCAGGTTCTCCGGCAGGGCTGCCGGTTTGTTCGGCTTTGGGAGAAGAGCCATCATAGTGGTGTGCCAATGATCCACCGTGCGCACTTGATCCCCTACCCACGCTTCCTGCATCGCTCGAGCAATTAGTGGCGCCAACTGCCCGGCGCAGCATTTCCACAAAATTGCGGGCGCTGTCTGAGGCTTGAGGGCTTTGGTAGCTGGCAAGGCAGCGAGCGCACCCTCAATTTGCTGTTCGTTAAATGGGAGCTGCCGCAGTGGTGAGGTGCATGGTCGTTCGTGTTGGGGCTCATGGTACAAAGCAGTGAAGTAATCTTGCAGTGCTTTGATGGATTCCTGTGGTGAGAGGGGGTTGCCCTCCTTAGTTCTCAGGTGAATCTTGGGATGTCTGTCTTTCGGACAGAATTGTCGAATTCTTCTGTACCACAGGTGGATGTCATGCTGCAGTCCGCACTGGGCGGTACTCACGAGGAAGTGTTCGAGATTCTGTCTCTTGTACATCTTGGCCTGATGTCTGAGGTGCTTACTAGCCTTACGGAATCGTACCATGTTAGTCCAGACCTCCCAAACCGACTTGACCGACATCATGCGTAATCGTCTGATGTCCCGCCAGAGTTCCCAGACTTGTCTGGTAGCAACTTGGTACGGCGCCTGCTGGTGCACCTTTTGAAGGTCCGTCAGCAGCGCGGGCATGCGACCACAGGAGGCCTGCACCAGAATGCGCTCTGCTTCATGCAAATCTGTTGCTGTGGCAAGTCGGTCATGAAGAGTTGTCAAGAGTTCTTGCCACTCCGGCGTGTTGGCCCTGCAATGATCGCGGAGCAAGCGGCGTGTTCTGGCAGTGCAGCGCTGATGCTTGGGAGGCGTCACATGATGACGCTCATGCCTGAGCGTGCCCGAAAGAGGTAGATGTCGAACTCCCGTGCGATGCCCTGCAAGAGGCCAGGAGTGATCATGTCGAACAGCTTTGGCAGTCCTATCCGCTAATCGACTCCAGGTGATGGCATAATCTATTCTGGTGCCTTTATGCCTGTCAGTGGCCGAACCGACGCAGGTGGGTTGCCATCCAGAAAAGGTGTTCAGAGCACAGAGGCAATGCCGTTCAAGAAACTCTCCAAGCTCGGAGTGATCTGGCTGGGGTTCACGGGTTTCATGATGAGGGTCTACAGATCCCACATGCGCAGTTGTAGCGGAGAGGCTAGTATTGAGGTCTCCCAGGATCAAAAGCGTATCCCGCGCCGAGCATTGGGCAAGTCCATGGCTTAGCTTCTTGAGGGTGAGTTGTCTCTGGTTTAAGGTGCTATGCCCAGTGTAAAGTTTTTGGTATACGGCGAAGACGTTTAGGACATGTTTTTGATGCACCCGTACATGTAGCAATCTGCCTGGAACAAGCTCACGCCAGGTGAGGGAGCTGGCATTGCAGAACTTCTTGGAAATTGCAACCAAAATTCCAGCATTCCTGGCACCGCTATTGATTAGATAATGGGTGGCAGTCTCCCACTCAGCGGTGTGTTGCATACGTGTTTCCGCGATGACCTGAATGTCATAGTCGGACTGCGCAAGCCAGACCATATACTCCTGATACGGGAGCCCGTCTGCAGTCCATACATGATAGCCCATGCGGGACTCCGACTGCTGAGTCGAAGAGTGGGACTTAGCCTTGGTGGCCTGTTGATGTATGTAATCTTGAATAGACTTCGGCACCATACTGGGTGTGATGTACTGTTGTTTGTACTTCGCGGATCCCTTGATGAGTGCGGTGGTGCATGCCTTAATGTATGCCTTCTTGGTGTGTGTGAAAGGCTCGGTTGCCGCACTTGCTGCAGGAATGGGGTGAGCAGCTGTTGTTGCAGTAAGTTGGGTTGCCAAGACTAGCATGACATCCACCAGCACTCTACGACCGGCTACCTGACATGGTTGCCGCACGCCCATGCGAGTTCGTCCTCCTTCCTTGGAGCGCCGTTGCGGGGTGATGGATGTCTCGCCTTGGCAGGGTGCACAACAAGAGGCTGGCACATGGGGTCTAGAGATATAGAAGTGCGGGGTATGGGCAACAAAACGGAATGTTAATTTGGGGCGCTGATTGAAAAGAGGTCTGATGAGGGGCTGGATTACTTGTAGGAGCTGAAGTCTGCGATACAGAAGCGGTACGGGGTCACGCCATGGGCACAGCCAGAGCACTCTCCAGGCCCGCACTAGCCGACGGTTCCAGCGTATCCAGGATCGGCATGCTTTGCGCTTGGCGGTGCTTCGCATCCACCTAAGACGTTTGGAGACACGCCGTCCCCAGTCAGTGATGTGTTCAGGATAACGCAGCAGACAAGTCGAGGATGCCTCAAGACCAGTCCGATGAGTGTGTGCTACAGGCAGCGATGTATGTCGATAGCGAGCAATTACGTGTGTGGCAAAGCTGTGCGGCTCACACCAACTCTGACAGTTCTGCTGAGGAGTGCCAGCCGAGTCTTGAACATTCCGTCGTTTCCTCCTCCAAGCATCCTGATTGCAGCGATGGCTTGCACTTGAATTAGGCATGGTTCGAGAAGAGTGTCTTGTGACCCATGCAGAAAAAGAAAGGCTACGTCGTTGGGGGGCTTCTTTTGTGGCCCTGTTCCCCTGGCTTCGTCCCTCGTTACTACCGTATGGGACTCGAGGGTAAGCAGCGGACTTCGGGCGTCCTGGGGCAGGAACGCCCACCCTCACACCCCTGATCACCGGATAAGCAACATCAATCCGCGTGTTTTGGTGATCAGGCCCGGACTTGGGACCGGGTCGGCTCATTGTAGCGGCAGTTCCGGGCACCTGTCGATGTGCTGTATCTATACGTGTTGGGGGAGCACCAACCGCGTCAATCCAGGCTGTTGTCGACGGCCGTGAGTGTACATCATTATGAATGCAGGAGCGAATTTTTGCATGTTCGGTTTTCGCACTCTGCGTTTGACTGCAGAACATGGCGTTGGAAATAGAGGTCTGAGTGGCGGACCTCGTCCAGGCATAGAGCTTCTCAGCCTGAGTGTGTTGGCATCGCAAGCTGCAAATAGAAGCTGACAGCCCAGACTCGTAAGTCAGGCCCGTCTGTCGAGAAATGCCATCTTCTGCAATTAGTGATGGAATGCATGGTATTCCATTTTCGACAGTGGCCCGAGGTACTTCAAAAACAGTCACTTCCGGAAGATTCGAGGTCTTCCCACGCTCAACGCTGATGGATTCTAGGCTTTGGGGCTTTGCAAATTGTGTCTTGATCTCGGTATGCATCGAACCAGTCTGAGCGCTGCCAGTGTCTGCAACTTGCACTCTGGAAGCAGGCACATCCGCACATGTGCGTGTTTGCAATTGTTGAGGCTTTGGTTCCGGCTTCGGCCCCATCTGCGCAGTACACTGGCTGTTGATTTGAGGTGGCGAGGATGCCTCTGCCGTGTCCTCAGACGTGGTGCTGTATGTGTCAAGCGACATGTCTGTATCTGGTACCGCTGGTCGAAAATGCGTCAGCGGTAGAGAAATCAAGCTTGAGCCAGCGTCAGGCTCGATCGTCATTCTGCGGACTTTGCCCGGCGAGGATACCTCAGCCTGAGCAGACTCAACAGATGCGGCACCAGCAGGCATAAATTCAGGCGCATGTGGATTCAGGTTACTCTTCCGAGTCCCGGCTTCTTGACTACCAGAGGAAGTCCCTGAACATTGAGTTTCGGGATCCGTCAGTCTGCGATCATCCTGCGAGGCTTCTGTGTGTTCATCATTGGCTGCCATTGCTACATCTTCCTTCACCCGCCACTGGCGCCTAGGTTTGGGCGGCGGCGGCGGTTGTCTCACCACTGTGTTCGGATGGGTATGCTCTCGTGATGATGAATCCTGCCAATCCTCTCGCACACATCCCACAAAACAACATACCTCAAGACTTAAAAACACAACGCAAGCAACACAAGTTTGTCAACCCTAGACCCAAACCCTAAAAGTTTCCAGTCCAATGGCCAAAATCACGTTTCGAAACCAAATGCCTGTCCGGTAGCCCAAATATTTTCGGGTACGTGTGTAGAGCAAAAAACACCATTGTTTCAGTGAACCCCCCCATGCAAATGACGCGAACCCTGTTTTCGACCCCCCCCCCACGGCTGTAGATGAGAACTTCATAACCTGTAGGGTCAAACAAAGCAGTTCTTGGAACTACGTGGCGGCGAACAACTTCTCCCTTTTCAAGATCCACCTTCCAGTAGTCCCGACCCTGGGGGGCGCCAAGAATCCGAAGCGGAATTGGCTTTGCTCTCGCCTTCTTCGACTCAAACTCTTCAAAAGGGTCTGCCTTCTCGCTGTACTTCGTTGAAACTTCAACTGCTCTCCAACCTCTCTCTTCTTTCACCCGAGTACTTCTGTAAGGAAAGTGCGTAGGGCTGTACATGAGAGAGGGGTTCTCGTACCTGGTTGGGCTTGCGTGCTTCACGATGACCATGCTGTCCGTATTGTGCCAACCAGGTTCTTCTTTGTTCACTGCTTCCTGGAGGTGCTTGTTCAACTGGACAACAGTGCGTACCATGCTGTAGTTGTTGTAATTTCCTCGGCTTCTTGAAGAAGTTGTACGTACGCGTAGGCTGCCAAATCTGCAAGGCACATGCCTTCCTCTTCTGAAACCCTCAACTCCCAACCTTCTCGAAACAACTTGCCTATGGCCATCAGCGGGTTGATCACCGAAGCGACGGTGAAGGCTTCCTGGACGCGGCAAAAGCTGCCATCTTCATCAAAGAACGTTGAGTTCAGCATTCTTCTGCCTTCTGTCTTGATTGCGAACCTTCAAAGGGGTTCCTTCTTTGCCTAGCCAAGACGGCACAAGAGAAACGTCTGCGCCAGAGTCCAGGATAACCTCAATTCTTTGATGTAGATCACTTTCTTGGAAAAACTCCTCCTCTACAGCACGAGCTGTAAGGACTTCTCGTGCTTGTAGTGCTTCACGACCAAGGTACCAATCTAGTAGAGGATCACGTTCTTGTTCTTCTTCACTTTCTTTTCCTTCTGACAAAAACTCTTCAACCTCTGTAACTCTCAGAATCCTCCCGAAGTACTCGATCTCGATCTCTTTTTCGTTTTCATCAAGCTCAAAGACTTCAGGATACGTGACAGGCTCATCATCCATGTGGTACATAGCAATCTGGCGGACTGTTGGCTTGGCTGCTGACTTTGTGCTTGTTGTTCTTGTTGTAGTGGATGAAGCGCTGCTGCTTGGAACTGTTGTGGTTTGTGTCCTGACGCTCTGGTCGTCTTCCTCCTGTGCGTTCCTGCCTGTCTGCTGCATGTCTCTTTGTTTGAGTCTGCAATTGGCTTCATAGTGACCAGCTGGGTTGCTGTAGTAGCCTTTGCCTTTTCCTTTGCTGCTGTAGCCTTTCCCCCCGCCTTTGCCATATCCTCGGCCTCGTCCTTGTCCTTTTCTTCTGCCTTTTCCTTTTCCTTTTCCTCGTCCTTTGTAGCCTTAGTAGAACTGGCTTTCTCCTTTTCCTTTTCCTTTCCCGTATCCTTTGCCTTTGTACTTTCCAAAGCCTTTTCCTTTCTTTCCTTTTCCTTTCTCCTTTCCTTTGCCTTTCCACTCATGGACTCTTGTAACATCCATATCTGCTTGTCCTTGGTGATCCTCTCCTAAATTGATGAGGTCTGTGGTTGTTTACCTTGCAGCTTGCTCGTATGAAAGGAGGTACTGAGGTAAAGTTCCGTAC